ATGAAGAACAAGATCAACCAAAAGGGAGTTTCTAACTGTCCTCCAACTACAAACGCTGAAATCCGTCAGTTTTTAGGCATAATTATATTTATGTCTGTTTTCCATTATCCAAGTGTTCGATCTTATTGGTCTACATACGGTTTCAAGAATATTTTGGAAACCATGCCATTGAACAGATTTGAAAAACTTCGATCTGTACTGCATTTCAACGACAACTTCCTCCACAAGCCAGTTGGCGACCCGGGCCACGACAGACTTCATAAAATCAGGCCTATAGTAGATCACTTCAACGGCCAGTTCAAAAAAGTTCCATTTGAACAAAGGCTGTCGTTAGACGAACAAATGTGTGCGAGCAAAATTGGGCATTTTATGAAGCAATACCTACCTAACAAACCTCATAAATGGGGCTTCAAATTGTATGTCATTTGCTCTCTGGCTGGATATGCCTATAATTTTGAGATTTATTCTGGCCAAGAAACAGCCATCGCTCCAGGAGAGCCAGACCTTGATGCCGTAGGAAACGTCGTAGTTCGCTTGTGCCGTCCAGTGTCGAGAAATGTGAACCATATAATTTATTTTGACAATTTCTACACTTCAATCCCATTACTACACTATTTGAAGAATCAAGGTATTCTTCGGTAGGCACTGTACAAAGAAATCGCCTTGGTCAGAATTGCAAACTACCTTCAAAAGCGGAAATAATGAAAGTATCGGTCCCTCGTGGAAAATATGAAGAACAAGTTGTCGATTATGAAGGTGTCGAAATATCTGCCATTGTTTGGAAAGATAATAAGCCGGTTACATTGGCATCAACATATGTTGGAGCTGAACCAGTCGAAACAATAACTAGGTACGATAAAAAACAGAAAAAACAAACAGCAGTACAGTGCCCACAAATCGTAAAACATTACAACGCTCATATGGGCGGCGTGGATTTGATGGACAGCTTTTTGGGGCGTTACAAAATTCGCATTAAAAGCCGAAAATGGTACATGCGACTGTTTTATCACCTGATTGATTTAGCTGTCATAAACTCATGGGTAGTATACAAAAAAGTCAATGAAAAGAGAGGAAATTCCAAAACAATTACTTTGGCAGATTATAGGTCTGAATTGGCTGAAACTTTGTGTCGCTACAGGATAAATGGAGAAAGTAAAAGAGGAAGACCCTCCAGTTCCAATATTGAAAGAGAGCTGGAAGCAAAAAAACGACGCGGTCCAATGAAATTTGTACCCCCAAAAGACGTAAGAACTGATGGTGTCGGCCACCACGAGAAACGTTGTGAGAATAAAAATAGGTGCAAATTGCCAGGATGCAAAGGCTTCTCCCGCACCGAGTGCACTAAATGCAAAGTCGCTCTATGCCACACAAAAGACAGAAATTGTTTCGCAATATTTCATCAGTAATTACCTAGTTATTATTTTCTTATTTATTTATTAGTTTGTGTTTCAGTCAACATGCAATAGTCAATTTTGAACTAAATGCATAATGTTGCCATACGGCTACTATGTATATTTTTGTATATAAACCAGTAAAAATAAAAGCTGGATTTTTTTATTTATTTTTCCTAGATCATACATCCAATCAACTAAATAAAAACATTTTTTCCGACGAAAAATAAAAAATTGTGCATTTAAGGGTTAAAAATAATCCTTGGTTAAAAATTTAAAAAATAGTTGTTGATTTTTAGTGTTCATATATAATAATAATAATTTATTTGCGTTTGAATAGGGTATACAAAAGAGATGTAAAAGGTAATACAATTATCGCCTATTCAGCCATTAACAATAGCATGCAAATGTAGTAAAAGATACTATAAGCACTGATTAATCCACCCAGGCTAACGTTCAGTTTCTATAGTCTAAGAACTCGTGCAACGAATAAAAGGAACGCTCTGCAAGCCAGTTATATAACTCTCTCTTAAATCTAGTAAAGTGTGTATTCTTTATAGATTCCGGAATCTTATTCAATATTGTTTGACACATACAGTAGCAGTTATTTTTGAATCGCGCGCTTTTTGGGACTATGTCAAGAACTAACTTATTTTTATTTCTAGTGTTCCTGTGATACACTTCATGGGCTATTTTGTAATAATCAGGGTATCGTTTGGCAAATTTTGCTGCTTCATATATTCCGACTACAGCTATATCACGCTCTAAAAAGTTTGAAACAAGAAATTTATTTTATAGCGATAGATATATTATAATAGCGATGGCTAAAGGATATCGTAGTCGTACAAAACAGTTTGTTAGGTTATGATCAGTGGCATACGACTACACTGTCCTTTGGTCAGCGTTTGGTCTATCTGTCAACAGGCCGTATCTCAAGAACCGTAAATTCTGACACTTACAGTTTTACAGATGATGTGTTTTTGTTGCTGCTTCAACAACAGCAACCAGATTAAATATTTACGGGGGCTCCTATACAATATACGGGATTTTTTTGCTAGTTTCCGGTTATGGAATCCTTTTTTTATCAGTTTTTTTTAAATATACTTTACTATTCTGGGATTATTAACAAAATGAAAACAGTATTCGCTTTTTACACATTTTTATTTTATATTCATAGAACATATTTGTTGTCTTTAAAAAAAGCGTTATTATCCGCTTACCGTAACTAACTAAGCTTACAACAGCGTAGAACGATGTAAAAGGCCAGTCGATTCGTGTCATGCAAAAATTCAACCCACAAAACAATCAAATTACAGATTTTTTTTTATCTATTGTCAGAAGCATAGAATTTTGTATCATCTAGGACCTATCAAAGAGTAAATAGTATAATACTTTGTCCTAGGACTCGAGTATTTTAATTTAATAAATACATTTGCGTAATGCGAAACTGAACAGATACTTTTTAGATGTTTGTCATTAAATATTAATAAAATAACGTGAGATCATTTTTAAATAGTTTGTTTTTTGAAATTTTTTTGGGTTCGACCGTTCTCGCATAACACGTTTCAAATATGTAAATAAAAATATTAAAACCTGATCTTTCGTAAGCGGCCTACGCCATTTTAAAAAACTATATCTCCGTTTCGCTTACATTTAAAAACTAAACACAGTTATTTCGCTTGCAAAAAATAGATATAAATACTTATTTATTTGATTTCTTTACAATCTGATATTTTCAGTTGTGAATATAATATGTGAGTACTTACATTGATTTGTACTTTTATCAAAACGGATATTTACTATTGTTGCTTTTTAATATTACAAATTATACAGAATCAATACATACGATGTTATTTTTTATTACATACGATGTGATTTATGACATTTTTATTTTTAAATTAAGACCGATAGTATTAAGTCGAAAAATATAGTGATAAAATACATCAGTATTTAAAGATTCATCATATAGACGTTAAGTCGCCCAACACTAACAGCCGAGCACGCACACAGTACGTGATTTTTGTATAAAACATATACGTAGGCGCTATTAAGGTGTTAATTATATAAATTGACACTATTTAAGCCAACAAGTGTCAGTCACTAACACTTGACTTTTGATATAAAGTTTTTAGTGGTTTGTCACTATTTCACCCAGTGATAAACTCACTAACAAACTAACTAACGTGATTTTACGTGCTGTTTATGGTATATGAAACGTCGAATGTATTGATCTCTGTTCATTAAACACACCATAATGTATTTCTTACACATATGTATAACTGCCCCTAAGTATATTTATAAAACAATAAAAAAATGAAATACAATAACAACCTATATTTAATATATAAATAAACAACCTTATAATGATTATTACAAAAAAATAGCGAAAAATATATTACAAAGAGTTAAAATTACTTATTGCAACGAAACGATGTCATTTAGACATCTTTTTTAATCTATTATTTATTTAATTATTTTTTTTTCATTTTTTTTTCTTTCCTTGTTTATTTTTTTGATCAGTCGTTCTGGCATAGTTAAAAAATAGCATAAGTTTACACCGTAGTTTAAGCGAAAAATCAAAAAGGATGATTTAAAATGTATCTACATTATTATTAACTAAAAATATGTTTTAAACCCATCCCATTTGACAATCTTAATAGACAATAAAAGTATAATATACCATAGATAAATGACAATGGATATTTTACAATGAATAATGTTAGCAATACCGTATAGAGATATACATAGAGTATAGAATAATGTATATAGTCTGTGGTACAGTTGTTAACAAAAATAGTGGGTTTCATTACGGTATTGCCGTAATAATATAACTATGTTAAAAGATGTTGCCGCTACAAAATAAAACTTATGTAGTATGCAGGCAAGACTTTTTGCATAGCGCGTATGTTAAAAAAACTATTAAGAAACTAATCGAAAATGGAATATTTTTTTCTATCACATTATTTTTTTGAGATGATTCCTTTCTTTCTAGTAAAATAAAATATTTTCTCCAAATTTCTTTTTTAATCTGATTTCTACCATTTTTAAAGTCGCAATATTGCGTATTAACAACATGTTAAGAATTACACTGCTTTATTTAAACGCGTTATATTTTAGATAGTTATATAGTCATCTCCTTCATACAGATTTATTAGATATCAAAAATTTTATAATAAAAGAAGATGGCGCCAGTTTTTGGTAGAGTCGATACTCTATAATGTATGAATTAATTATTTTTTTTTAATGAAAGATGGTCAATTACAAATCCTAAATCTGTCCATTATACACATTAAACAACCATTTTTTTAAATAATAGTATTAAACTATTATTCAAGTAATTAATAATCATTGGAAAAAATGTGTACTGATAAATAAAATCATGTATTACTCTTATTATGTATTATATCATAATTCTGAAATTAACACCATCTCCTTTTAATTAGATAAAAAAAATTACAAGTTCTTTAAATCCACAAAGTATTGAAATTATAAATATTTTGTGAATTTTTAATATAATAAGAATAACACAGTAGTTTTTTCTTAACAAAAATGCTTTCATACATATTAGGTTCTGTTCATAGCAAAAAAAATTGCGCTTTTTTTTTTCTTAAGAAGAAATATAACGACAAAGGCAAAGGAGTTCTATGTATTATGTTTAAAAAAAGAATGTCTCTATTTTTAATTTTCTCTCTCCAAGTATTCACCAATAGATTTGTCACTGTTCGTAGTTTTTAGTTTTTCTGTCCATGTCGTCGTCTGATGTCCGGTTCATAGAATGATCTGGAAAAGAAAATTGTATTTTTTATTGTTATAATACGTACTATTATGGTAACGACATGATTTATGTAAATGTCATTACTTATGATAAAAAGCTGGTAAGTTTCTTTCGTTTGTTTTTCTTGTTAGCTAAAAGACGCCCTGAACAAGTGGTAGGGGAAAAAAATCTTTGGGACGATTTAAAAGCGCTTGAAACAAGCTTACTTGAATAAAGACATTTTCTTTTCATTTCAAAGAATTGCTTTAATTCATTATAATTGATATAATATCCATATAGTTTGCATCGCTAAAATCTTTTTATCTGTTTATATGTAGGAGAAGTGCAAACGGCTAATATTTTTCAATAATAATGCTTATAAAGTACATTAAATCGATAAATAAAACATTACACACACTACTATGCATTTGACGCACACAGACAAGTATTTGCTACACGCATACGTGTACTCTGTGGTCAAATTGTTTCTTTTGAATACTGGCTTCGCACGGTTTGTGCATTGAGCCAGTGTCAAGTTTTATATGTTATCATAGACATATATTTGTATGTTTGTCATGTTTACTGTGGTCTTACTGAATGTCGAAAGATTTTCGATTTCCTTAATAACTTCTAATTGAAATTTATTATGGTCGAATTTCGACCTCTGGGCGACCACTAGTATATGTAACTAAGTCAGGGGTTCCCAATTAGTTTTATATTACTAATTAATAATTAAAATATAATAAATATTAGACAAAGCCAAATATATCGCTCGTATTCCAAGATGAGTAGCTAAAGCCCCAGTATTATGTAGTATCATAAAACGAAGGTTCCACAACACACAGACGCGAGATAATATAGAAAAGTGGTAGTTGGACAGTTAAAATTTTTCACAGATGATGTATCTCTGTTGCCGTTATAAGAACAAATATTAAAAAACAGCATAAAATTGATATTTATTAATTATTAAAACAAAATATTAGTTTTATTCTGCTATATAAAGCATTTTAAGGGCTCCCATACAACAGATGTGACTTTTTGCGTTTTTTTATACATAATGGTATGGAACCCTTCGTGTGCGAGTCCAATTCGCACTTGGACTGCTAATTCGGTCGCTGGAATGCTAACAATATATATAATTACCGTTATGAGTTATCTTGGGTACAAGAACGACGCTGCCGTCAGCCGCCTGCTGCAGAGAATACTGCTGAGAAGATAACGGCCTGCCCTCGGGGTCGCGCAAGTTCTACAACAACCAGACACTAAATAAATATAGGTATCACTTAACACTACTATCTATAATAAGTGATAACAAATTATGTACACACGGCTGCACGTCAGGTTTATGACCTTTTTTATAAAATTTCTGCAGTTGACTTTTAACCTTAATGTATTGGAGGTAGAGTTTATAATCAACTGTAGAAACCTGACATGTAAACTGTGCGTACAATTTTTTTACAGTTGATAGAACTCGGCTCTAAATGTATATATACTAGAGATGCGCCGAATATTCGTTTGGTGTTCGGTGTTCGGCATCTTTTCACTATTTGTATTCGGCCGAATTATACAATTTTGGTGCTGAATATATTCGGTTTGAGAGTTTCTAATTTTTTGGCTACACGACACGGCTATAGTATTAAAAGACAAAACTAATAATCAATAATCCTAATAAGGATTAATCCTCAATAATCCTAATTAAGGATTAGGATTTCTTCTTAAGAAGATTGGATGAATTTAACGACTATCTATTTAGAGTCATTTATGGGATTTGTTTTCTATCAAGCCAGTTTTATTTTTACTAAAATGATTCTTTATTTGGCAAATATTTACAAAGTGATAATATCGTATAACGTCGCCTTAAGAGAATGCGTTCATCACCCTAGTGTAATTTAACGTTGGAAACTGTTTTTTGACTAATGAATAACCTATTTAAGTTCCTTATTCGTGTAGCTGTTTGTTTTTTACTTATTTAGGACAGCAACGGCGGAATAACAATAATTTAATTTAAAGTAAATTGTAAGATTGAAAGGCTAATTATAGCCATCCAAGAAATTAATTCACTTATAATAAATTAATAGCAGTTTTTTTGTATTACATTATAAACATATATATTCATGAGGAGAAAGTAGGTACTATGGCGACTTATGGCAACTTATAGTTAATGGTGGAGGTGGGTGGCGCAATAAAAAAACTGGTAGAACTCCTCAGTCTTGATGTATTTTCAATAAGTAATACATTTATTCACTTACAACCAAATATTATGATGCTCACTCTAAGCTGGTCTCGATCAGAAAAAAAGACTATTCACCAGCAAAACACGAACACGCGAATTCGAATAAGAAAAAGTAATAATTTAAAATATTAACGGCCAGTTAAATTTAAAATATAACCATAAACCGTCCGAAGAGTAAACCCTACCTATAGTAATGTGCACGGACGTTACAGAACCTTAAATATGTGTAACATTTTAGTGAAAGAAACTGCATTCATGCCGCTTATATATGTATCTGTACTACATACATACAGAGCGTCCCACGAAACACATGCAGGGAAAGTACCTTGAATATTGTAGATTTCAAAATGTTCCATTTTAGTGTAAGAAGACATTATTTTAATTTAAAAAACAATTTAATCTACATTCATGCCGCTCGTCAATTGTTTTAAAATTGCAGCAGTATGTTAAATCTCTCACCTACACGGAAATATAAAAATTTAATTATGTTTTGTGAAATAAATAAAAAGAATTTTTTTTTTTAGATATTAACATATATTTCATGTATGCAAAATTAAAATTTTAAAAAGAAAAGCTGTCTACACCCCTGTAAGGGGCCGTCCATAAATTACGTCACACTAAATTCTTAGCCCCCCTAAAGGATTTTACCTATACAAATTCTACAAAATATGCTCCCCCCCCTCCTAAAGCGTGGCCTCTAATACGTACTTGGAACACGTGTCTGTACAGTGCCGCGAACCTCTCCTTGACCCGCTGCCGCTCCGCCTGCAGCGTGTGGTGGTCGCGCTGCGTGCGCTGCTTGCGGTCGCGCACGGTGCGCACCTCGTCCGCGAGGGACGTGATCTGGTCCAACTTGCGCTTGCGGCAGTTCTGCGCCGCCACCTGTACCACAAATTGTTTTGTTCCTTTTACAAATCTCCACGTAGTAAGCTCAGGAACGTACCATACTCGTGTGTCGATAAAAATATATTAAAGATATAGAATAAGATATCTTACAAACAGTTAAAAAACATATTTTAATAGACCCATGCTACTATAATTTAAAGGAATTCTTGAAAGTTGTAATTGACGGATTGTTTTTATTTATAATTGTGTTGTTTTGTTACAAATCTCCAATCAGTAAGTACAGGAAGATACCATATGTCGATAAACATCTCTATATATATATATATAAAATTCTCGTGTCACAAAACGATAAGCGGGCGCCAAGAGGTAGACCTGCTCATGTGTACTTATGGAAAAATAAGAAAAAAATTATATCTTATTAATCTTTTTCTATAATATATAAAGCTTAATTTTTTATTATAAAATTAAATTCGAAAATCTTCGAAAATTTACACCTTTTATGATATTTTCAACATTTTGTTTTTAAATTTGAATAACGTACAAATGTAGATCCAATTTTAGCGCCAGGAGGCGTCACACATTAGTGGTGAAGTCATAAGAAGTTATTAATTTAATTGTGTTAATAATATATACAAAGTATTATATAAGTCCACTTAGGTCCTGGACCCACCACAAGAGGGGGGGATCCACCATTGATAGCACAGTTAGTTATGTAAAGCAACTATCATATCGGCTGGTAATATGATGGGTGACCCAATATTATCTCGACCTCTTCCATGCCTCGGATGGCACGTTAAGCTGCATTTGCGTTAATACCCTCCAATCCGCATTGGGCCACCGTGAGGGGGGGTCATGGCTTATCGTCCTTAACCATCCATAAGGAAGGCATGAGCCCATGCAGTTGGGACGTAGAAGAGCTGATGATGATGATATATCTATACTAATATTATAAAGAAGAAAATTTCTTTGAATATTCTTTCACCTACGGGAAACTACATCATACACGGAGAACATAGGATATATATTATCCTGAAAAACAGCAAATAAAGATGAAAATGGGAGTATAAGTTTGTATAGGGTATTAAAACGTTACCACAGTAACCATTGTTTACTATTCGATTTGTCATTGTAATTATATCCGTGTCACAAATAAACAGTTCCCTAGGAACTACGGGGGCGGAGCCGTATTATATATACCTTGTTTTTGCCACGCCTTCTTATATCCCTGATTAGTGACAGCTGGGCCTCGCTCAAATCGTGTTTCGACAGACGCTCGTTGAATTCATCCATTGGCAGATTAATTATATCATGCACCTCTAGAGGTATACCTGTTGATAAAAAAAAATACACACATTATAATATAGAAATATGTCTATACTATTTCTATCCGACGAATGGGCTATTTATCACGGAAAAAAGTCAATTAGAACCGGTAGTTCCCAAGATTATAACAGATTAATTCTTTAGCTTTATAATTTTACTAGCTTTCCGCCAGCGGCTACGCCCACGTGGTCTTGTACTGTAACGGTGTGCCATGCCACCGTTTGTTTTCCTAGGTTTCAGTATGCAAACTTTTTGTTTTTGAAATTCAACATCATTTCATTTTATTATTCGTCTTTTGTAATTTCAAATTTTGACTAATCAATTATACTCTTTATGGATGTCAGTTCGTAAGAAATTCTTCTAAGCACAACATGTAAATCTATATATGTATATGGTATTAATAGTATAAATTTTATTATGTAATTTTAAAATAATTTATTGATTGTGATAAAGAATGTGATATTGTGATACAAATTATATAACATATGTACTAAATTGCAATCTGTATTTTGGACGATCCAAGGGTTTAACTAGAAGCCCGACAAGGGGTATGTATTCGTTTATTTGATAATTTAAAATTTATAGTTAAGTAACGTTTTAGTAAAGTAGTTAAGTAGTTTTTTTAAGTTTAATTTTTGTTTGTTACAGTTTCTTATTTACCCTTATAAAATTAATAAATCCATACTCAAGCTAATCAGCCTTATTAATTGACCCAAGCACCGAACCCGTCACAGTATTATACATAAAAATCTTCATTTTGAATCACCCTATCTATGAAAAAAACCGCATCAAAATCCGTTGCGTAGTTTTAAACATTCAAGCATACATACGGATATAGGGACAGAGGAAGCGACTTTGTTTTATACTGTGTAGTGATTAGTTTATTATATTATTTTCATCTAAAATTTACTAATTGAAAAGCTGAAGAGTTTTGTTCTTTGCTTGTTTGGTTCTAATCCCAAGAACTGCTGGTATGAATTGTTTTTTTTACCGTTGAATAGTCCATTTATTACATAACTAATATTAGTGGAGCAGCAATGAAAAATGTTGGCTGCTTTAAATGGAAATATAATACGATTAAAAAGAGACAAAAGACCGCGGTGATTCTCTTCACTCGCGTACATAGTAAAACACAGCAGATTTTAACATTGGCTGTAGAATATGTTGGACAATACTATTTCTTGACGTAGTAAAACAATAACCATGACAAGTGAAGATAAAAGTTAGAGTTATGACGTCATCCAGCCATTGACAAATAATAACTCATTGTTATTTCTTTTTGTTTATTTTAATTTTATTATATCAACATTATAATAATAATAATAATTTATTTGCGTTTGAATAGGGTATACAAAAGAGATGTAAAAGGTAATACAATTATCGCCTATTGAGATAATAACAATAGCATGCAAATGTAGTAAAAGAAGATACTATAAGCACTGATTTATTATTATTTTAATATCTTAGTATCGAACAGCTTGTCTTTGAAATATACTGTTTGATATTATAATCAGATATAGAACAGATCTATGTACTATATATATCATAATATTAGGCTAAATATTTAATCCACAAAGTATTTCTGTAAATCACACGATTTTTGTCCCTACGCTAAGATATTAGAGACCGTATTTGCATGTACATGTCATTCCCATCTAGTATTTTTCTTCAAATCATAATATTCCACTTTAACACAACGGAGTAAAGTTGGGCAACGGTAAAAACTAAAAAGCACTAGGCGGAATAGGTATTTGTACCGAGTATTATATAACATGTATAATACTCGAATATATATACCTCTAGTAATATCTCGAGACTTACGTACTCTAGTATAAACGTTAATTGTCCAAAGATCGTCATACCTTGTTGTTTTAGAGCATAGACAAGATTGGAACGTTTCGACTCACCCAGCGCCTTGGCCCTCTTCTCGTCTCTGGTCATGTGACCGCCGCTAGTGGACGATCCGCCGTCTGACATACTGCCATCTGTCATACGCCGAACTAATAGTGAAAATAAAAACAACAAATGATACCGCGATACATAAACGTACAGCGCCATCTAGTTTGCAGGTATAGAACTATTCGGGTGTATCTAGAAATTGATCTATCCAAAGAATAAAGAAACCTCTGCGTATCATTGTTTTGAAATTGAAACAATACATACAGCTGTTGTAAATGTAATTTAAAATTAACTGACATTCTAAATGAAAAATACTTAAAAAATTCACTTTGTTCCCGGCACTCTGCGATGGGACTCGAACCCATGAATCGCAAGCTGGGCAACTGCTCTAACCACTATGCTACCCAGGTCAGGACCTAACAGGACTGACGAATTTTTCAAGCACTCATTACTTTTATTAGAGAGCGAATTATCATCAATTTTCAGGCTGTTCACTTCATTCCATTTCAGTTCATTCTTAATGAAAAATTCTAAGGATATTTTTCAGTATATAGTTATTACTCTATGAGAGTTGTCAGTATATAGTCATCATTACTCTATAAGAGTTGTCAGTATATAGTGATAATTCTATGAGTGTTGTCAGTATATAGTCATTACTCTATAAGAGTTGTCAGTATATAGTGATAATTCTATTAGTGTTGTCAGTATATAGTCATTACTCTATAAGAGTTGTCAGTATATAGGGATAACTCTATGAGAGTTGTCAGTTTATAGTGATAATTCTATGAGAGTTGTCAGTATATAGTCATTACTCTATGAGAGTTGTCAGTATATAGTCATTACTCTATGAGAGTTGTCAGTATATAGGGATAACTCTATGAGAGTTGTCAGTTTATAGTGATAATTCTATGAGAGTTGTCAGTATATAGTCATTACTCTATGAGAGTTGTCAGTATATAGTCATTACTCTATGAGAGTTGTCAGTTTATGGTGATAACTCTATGAGAGCAGTAGGAAGTTTATCATATTTTCAGTTTCACACATCGCACACACATTTTCATTTTATATGTAGAAATTTATTTATTCACTTGACATTGGCAGAATTGTGCGAAATGCGCAGATAAGCCATTAATATAAGAAAAAGAAGAGAGTAGTAGTGCGATCTGTCAGTGTTACCTCGCTTGTCCCGGTGCTGGGCGGGGCGCGCGTGCGGGAGGGCGGGCGGCGCCGCGTACGTGTGGTTGTGCCGCACGCCGGGGCCCGCGCGCCCCTGACTACCGCCCTGTGTTACATATACGTAATCCTATATAGATGCCTCATCGCATAGAACGAAATGTGGTACTGGAGTCGATGCTAGATGCCGTAAGTTAGCAAGCGACACTTAGAATGAGGTGATATTTAAAAAAAAGCACTAAAATAGCACCTCCAATAGATGGCGACTCTAGTAAAAGTTGATTTTTGCAGGAAACAAATAGACCATAGATAATTATTTACGTTCCTTTTAAGTAACATATTAAAAAACTGAAATTTGCAAAGTTCGAAACTTAGATATCAATACAAATACGAAAAAGTACAAATATTATATGAGTTGTTTATTGAGTTTTGAAAACTAATTTACTTTTATACATGAAAGAAAACCGGAAGGGATGTCATGAAGAAATCAAGAAAGTACTGCAGCGACATCTAGTTTGATTTTGGGAACTAATGTATTTTTTTAATACTTCCTCATTGGACTTGGGATATTTTGGAGATTTTCACATAAACGTCAATAGATGGCGTTGATTCACCAATAAAAATGTTTTAAGTGAATTAATAATTAAAACGTAGCCATTTAATCATTTAAAGTGCACTTTTGGTTGTATTGTGTCTATGACGACTTGTAATTTTACGAAAACTAGATTAAATAACACTTTATTTCATTTCTCCGAGCTTAGGATTTTTTTCTCTTTAAGAAATTACACTGGTTATTATATATTCTGGATATTTCACAAACGTAAAATATTGAATGATACACGTAACGCCATCTATTGTGGTTTATAAGAACAAATATTTTTTACTTAGCGATGAGAGTCTATACTAATATTATAGAGGAAAGATTCAATTGTTTCTTTGCAACGAATATCCTCCAAAAAAACTAGACTTATTTTAAAATTTCTCTCATCTACTGGAAGCTACATTGTCTCGTGGTCGTAGGTTATAATTTACTACTAGTTATATATATGTAACTGACCTGTAATAATGCATGGCTGGTATGGGGAGTGTTCAGGTCCAGAGCTGGTTGCAATGGACCGTGGTTTCCCACCAATGGGCGAGGGCCGAAATCTGTTTATAAAAAAAATACAAATTAAATATTATAAAGTTAATAGTTTTGTTTACATTTTGAATTCACAAAGGCATCAAGATATAATGACAATGACTATGTAGCCCTTTTTGTTTGAAAATACATTGTAAGTATATACTACTTTTGCAAAATTGACTTATGATTTATAATGTCGATTACAAGAACCGCAACGCGGGCGGCCATGATGGAGCATCGCGTGACGTCACATTTCAATAAACTAAACGTCTACGTCTTTGTTGTAACTGCAACCAGTACTCGTGTTTATTGAAATGTGACGTCACAGCTAGAAATGTTTCGTAACCAATTATATGGATAAATAAAAACTATTAATATTTTGGTGTTAATTATATATGATGGTTAATTAATATGATGATTTAATAGTTTTATACTAAATTTTCAAAAACAGTCAAGTATTCAGCAATAATAAAAATAATGAAATCTTTGAAATAATATATGAGTCATACTGTATATTGATTGCTGCCAAGAACTTTATTGCAAGGAGTATAATATATAATATCTAACCTGTATGCATTTGCATGGGGTCGTGGTGGTATGTTTGTTCGGGACACTCGTACTTGACGACGGGGGCGGGTGGGCGCGGGGGTAGCGCCTCCAGTTGTGGGGGCGTCTGCTCCTATACAGGATGATATTTTTATTGGTTCACAATTTTTCTAAGGTTTAATAAAAGATGTTAACAAGAAATAATTTTATAAGAAATGCTTAAAAATGCACCGATTTCCAGGTAAAAAATTCTCAGTTTTGTTGGGTTTCGGATAGCTCAATGGTTAGAGCAGTAGTAAAGATTGCGTATGGTTATGGGTTCGAACCTTATCTCGTGTATTTTTTTTTTAATTATCTTCAATCAATGTATTAGTCACTCGTCTAAATAATAACAGGTCGTGGTAGCGTTAACACCTAACGATCCGCACTGAACCCGCGGGGTATGTTATATGTATTAGGGCCTAAAAAGAATGGGAACATGAATAGTCTAGTGATGATTACCTGAAAGCATCTTTTTCCAAACATATGATGTTTCTTCTGCGGTTGGTGTGGAGCGTTCCTATCCCTTCCATAAGCGGCTTCGTACGGCCGGAATTTAGAGCTAGTAAAGACAATAACAAAAGTGAAGCAACGTCCGTAATAATAAAGTTCGGGATGGGTGACAGTTTTTTTTTTTCATTCAAACATATTTTTTGACATCACAACCAATATAGTCACGAATCCGCCTTTATAATTTTTATGAACTAAATTTAAGGGGGTCTAACAAAATTATGTTTTTTAAAATTCAAACTAAAATATATATTTTTTTAATCTAATTTATATTGAATCCTATTTCGAAATCAAATTGTCCCGGTATTTTTAAATTCATATCTTAATTGTTGAAATTTGAAAGTTGACAACCCTAGGACCTAGAATAAACAAATTACCTATGAAACTCTTGCGCTGAATCACTGCCATCGCACCATTCGCCGTCAGAAAGAGACGGCACTCTCTCAGATCCCATTGAAGACACGGCGCTATCAGATGCCGAGTCACGCTCTACAAAAATAAACCTTATCACTATAATAATACGGCTTAAACCAGAAAAAACCAGTTAAAAGTATTAAAACGGTTGCGTACGAATATTACATCTTCAAATCTATCACAATCCTTATCAAAAGTATAATGATTGTGCTATCATGTAATGTTAAAAGTCGCAATTTTTCTTGGAACAAATGATTTGAATAATGAAGAAAGATAAGTAACCAAAAGTAATATTTTTTTCCCGGGTTCGATTCCCGGTCGGGTCAATGTAGAAAATAAACTTTTCTATATTGACTCGGGTCTGGGTGTTGTGGTACCTTCGTTGTCTCAGATACTCCATAATACGGGGGCTTTAGCTACTCATCTTGGAATCTGAGCAATGTGTGTGATGTTGTTAAATATTTATTTTATTTATATTTTATATTTGCGTCGAACTATTACTTTAGGTTACTTATCTATCTTTTTTTTATCGTTGGATATCTTTTTAAAAGACTTCGCGAACGCAATAGCTATCAATTATCAAATAGTTGTAGCGTTAAGTTCGTGAATATCTTTTAAATGTCTGATATGCGGCCCGCGGACCTTTACATAGAACACTGCCCTCCCGAGCCAAAACCGCAGTAACAGCAAAATTTGCGTTTTTGTGTTTTCCTTATCGTCTCAAAGCCTAATTCAAACCCTACAAGCCTAACTTATTCCTTTTTCCACGACCAGAAATAGTATTTCATTTTTGTTTCTTTTAAAATTAAGGCGCCATATTTGTAAATTTATCTGAAAATACGCTATGATTACCACCTAATATGCAGTAAGAATTTTGATCTACTTACTGCATTATAGTAAGTTAATATAGTAACAAAACTGTTGAATAACCGTTGAATGCAGCAACAGCTCACTCTACTGCTTTTTAAATAGTTTAACAAACGATTTAGTAAAAAAACAGAGACAGTAATAGGGTTAAAAATTATAACGACTATAGTTGATTTATTAGCAGTGGTCGGAATTAGGTATAGTTATTCATGTACTTACACTGATTTCATACAGCGAAAGAATAAAGTAGATATGCCTCAAATCCCGAGATTAATTTTAAAGAGCAGAAAAAAACCCATGATTTTTTTTAATAAAAAGTTATTTACTTTTACACAATTTAAACTACTGCACGCACGACGTTGCCAAACTTACATCAATGAAAGAAAGAAATAAAGAAAGAAGAAATAAAGAAATCCCGGGAAGGTCCACATTTATATCAACATTTCGATGCAAGTACAAAAATAACTCTACCTAATTCCGACCTCTGTTTATTAGTCATGTTTTCAACCTGAAATTCATGAATTATTTTAGTATTCTAACTCTTCTAATACTTCGCATTCAAAATTCGTATAATAAGCAGTGATTTGTCAAAGATACACAAAATTTTTATTTCGCGCGCGTTTTTCTCGTTTTTGTTATTACTACGCTTTAGTTTCGGGACGACAGAACATGTCTGAATGGGTACTAATAAAACTAACCTGTGGTCATCATCATATGCGTATGGTTATGATGCGGACCTGCACCGTCCAGCATACGCATTGTGTACATTCCTGAAATAAAAATAAGTATTTATACAACAGCAGTATTCCGCCTGAACTGTATTACACATCACTGTATATTGAATTAATCTTGCATACAGATTTAATTTAGATGACGACAATTCATTATGGCGGACGCTCCAAGATGGCTCTCTAGTTATTTTTTGTGCATTTTCCATGACGTTAATAAAAATGAAAGAGTTTGCCTACTGAAAAAATTACAAAGAGGCTCCTTAATAGTTTCTATTATTCTTCTAGCCAATTATTAAGAATATAAAAATTTAGTTTATTGATTTATACTAAAATTATTTATAAAACAAAACATGTGATGTTATCTAATCTTACTGGTAATGCGTAAGTTTTTGAGTAAGTTTAATACTTTTTCACGCAAAAACTACTGGACGTATTTTGATGAAATTTCGTATACGGGTAATTCAAAACCTGAATAAATATTTATTATTATGTTATTGTTGTAAAAATATAGGTTTGTTTGTAAAAAGTAAAAAAGTAGTAGCTATATTATGTCTGAACTAATCTAATGTAATCGATAGATTGGATAAGTGAAGATGACTTGCAAATTTATAACAAGATAGGATGATTGCAATTTTTGCTTATGGCAAATTCTATATGAGATTGTTTTTCCACAACTCTCCAAAGGGTTGCATTGTATTTAGGGTTTATATATGTATATGTGAGGTATATGTGAGTCGCTTTATTCCACCATTTTTGTACTTTTGTAAGACTCAACGGATATGAACGTATAGGAAAGGTAGTTAATCCGGAGTGACTCTGGCTACATTTTTCTAATATTCGATATGGCAGAAGACGAAAAAATTTTACATTCACTATATCAATATGTGAATTTTGTTTAGCCAGGGTATAATAAAACTTGTTTCTTTTATTTTTAAAGATAGATGATGGCAGTTGTGCTTTTCTATTTTTTTTTTATTAAAAGCTCTTAAAAAAGGTATACGCTTTTATCACAAATTTATGACGCGCGGCACCCAAATAAAACAAAGATGGCGGTTATCCGCACAGGTCATGGATTGTGAAAAATTTAAATAACAAATATCATTCGTACGAATTAACATGACACCCGCTGGCCTATTCCGTTTCTCCAAAAAAACTAATTTTCTTAGCTACTATATGACACTCCTCAAATAATCTTCGCGTAATGAATTACATCATTTGCGTTTGTGCGTGATCGTGTGTGTGTGTCTTCGTGCGTGTGTTCTGTCGTGTTTATTATCTAAACAAATATATAAAGTTGTTAAGTTTGTTTGTTTGTAGTAATCATATAATTCTTATACCTAGGGGAAGCTGCATCGTGCGCGGGTGACATAAGTTATAATTTGCGCGGGTTAAGTCCAGGGAAAGCAACAAGTAGGTTAATATAAAAGCATGATGATATGACTTCAATCACTTTAAATCCGCGGCATCTTATTATTGTTATCATTTTAATAATTAAAAAGGTCATCAGGGGTGAATTATCTACTTGACCTTCTTATTCGGTTTTGATTTTTAATCATACGAAGGTATCTGTACTAATATTTATAAACAAACACTTTTGCCATCTACGATATTTAGTCTATGGTAAAGGTTATTAACTTACCATCGTAATAACTGTGATAAGAGCCCAAATATCCCACCGGATCCGGATACAGTATTTGACTCGTCAAATATGGCGGAACATGATAGTAGCCCGCGTACGGTAAACGCGCCAAAGTCATATTCATGTTTTTAATCCTCAATTATCTTCGCGATCTCAATATAAAATTATTTAATTATTCACAAATTATCAAGTTCCCTACTATATTAGCTTTGACAACTCAATATTTTCGTATTATCAGATTAAACGAATGACATTTCCTCTGACGTAATATAATCATCGATAATCGAAAAATAATTCCGCATCACCAAGTGGCGTTTGGCCTCTTTCGTAATTTTCTTTGACGTAAGCGAATTATTAATCTCGTTCAGCAACACCTAATAATGCCTCAACAAATACGCACACGACTTTCTCATTGTTAACAACATTAACTTATCTCTCTCTGATATTTGCAGAGTCTGTTTTTCAGACGATTTACGTTCAACGATCGTAGTTTGTATTTGAAAGACCATAAACAAAAGTTGTATCTTTTTAAAACGTCCACGGGAACTTTTGTTAGGGCGTCGCAAGATTTCTTCGAGGAACGTAGGGAGCAACAGAATCTGCATAGACATCCACCTGAGCTATTATGCACCTTTCTACGCGTCACGGTGCGTTTACGCAAGTAGAATGGCATATGTAGGCTTTTACAAACACTATTTTAAAATATCAATACTTTGTAAAGTTTTTTTTTGGCACGACACTAAGGAGTTCAAATCACTTTTAAATATCACACTTAAGTCACTTATTACTGATAATAGAAAGTCTTGAAAAAATTCTCAAGTATTTTTATTACAAAACCACTTGTAATTATTTTACACTTTATAACATCACAAACAATCTATATACGTATGAATAAATTCCCATGTTGGAGGTAATTAATCTAACGTTTATTTGTTATAAAAACTTTTTCAGCAATTCTTTGGCTGGCCCTTTTGAAGCATTTGAAGCATAGAGTTTTCGTAGACAAACTTCGGAAATGGCGGGAAGAACGACAATGAAAGTCTCGAACATTTCCACTGTATTAAAAGACATGGCTACGTAAATAAAGCTATCAGTGTTGATTTTAATAAAATAATCAGATAACATTTATCATTTGTTCAGCAAATCCCGCAAGATGATACACTAATAGTGTATTATAGCAAAAATTTAAATATAGAACGTGAAAAATATTTGAATAATTTGAAAAGGAATTCGTATTATTCAGCCATGTACATGTTTTAGTGTGTTCACGTCCGATTATTGACTGAATTACCTATTGATATAATTTTGAGAAGATATCTATTACGTCAGAAGGGTTATCATGTAATCGTGTTGGCATTCGTATTTGGTGGAACATGAATTGTTACTAGGTAATTTTTCTGCAATTTTTATCTTTAAAACATTCACCTACACACCTCGGTAAAAACATGACACACAGACATCGGTTCTGTAATATTAAACGTTAAATATTAATATAGTTTTTTTTTTAATATTTCAAGTGTCTATCCCCTTCTTAAAAAGGGCCGTATAATGTAAAGAGATTACATTATTATTATTTTCTTTTTTTACTTATAGAAAACTAACAGCTTCATCTTCTTGGCCGTAGAATTTTTAGAAATACTAAAGCAAGTCATTCTTTATTTCTGACAAAGTAGCAAAATGCCAATTTTCATAGAAACCTCTTTTTCACTATCTAGAGAAATAATTACTTGAGAAAATGTCATAATTCAAATTTATATTTTTAATAATAAATAAACAAGCATTTGAATAAAGTAGGAACGCTCCAAAGTTAGTATTCTATTATTGTTAGCTAATAACAGTTCTTACTACATTCAAATTCTAGTTCATTGGTTAAAATATTTGCTTAAGTAATGACATTTTCTCAAGTAATTATTTCTATAGATAGAGATAAAATTTTCTTAGTGCTCAATTATACTTCAAGCAACATACATGAAAAATTTCCCTTTTCTATGCTTAGTACTTTTGATCGTGCTTTGGTTTTTCTACATTGCCACAACACGTTGAGGTCTAATAGCCTATCTGTGCTTGCCACAACGCTTTGTGAGGGTTTTCATTAGAGCAATAACACGGATTTGGCGTTGAGGCTGATTTACTGTGACCACAACGCGTTCTGAGCTATTTTTTATTTCAATAAACGGTAGTCAGAAGGGGCTATTACGAAGCCCAAATAGATCGTCCATATCGGAGGACTATCTTTAAAATAACACTGCAGGTGTGTATACCAACGTGGATTTGTTCCATTTTATCACTTTTCATACGAAAATATAACGAGATGAGCGTGATGTCGTCTGATGTCTTTACTCCTCGGCGATCGGAAACAGAATGTCTGCCAAAATGGCGGCAACTTGCTTTTTGTTAACGAACTGTCAAAGTCAGTGTCACCATTCTAATAAAATTAAAAGTATCGATGATCGATCACGCTCTTTCGACAATCGAGTAATTAAGTAATCTAGCAATTAAAATAAAAGAAACTAAATCATCAAACGATCTTCGTACAGATGATGCGACATATATATATACATATAAAGTTATGTCACCTAATAAGGCCGAACGTTTTTTAACCTGCTTCTGCCTTTAATGGTCAGTCGATGCAGGACTGTAATTGAAATGCATACATGTTGGCTATTTTACACTCCAGCTGTCATAATAAATTGGCCTTATTAGGCGATATTACCTTATTTAAAAAAAAACTTTATTATCTTTTTTACTATTTTTTAGTTGAGTAAAGTTTTTAAAGTACATTTATACGTGCAAATAACACAATTGTTAGTAGCCATTATTATTTAATTAGGCAGATTTAAACTGTTTATGATTCAAAAAGTGCAAGTAACTAAAGGTTAAATTTAAACGTAATATATTTTATCAGTTCAATGACTTGATTGCAGTCGTAAAAAATAATTAATTGCCGACATGATTTCCATGTTTTTAAAACAAAAACGTTTTTGGTTTAAATTAGTGTGTTATGACGTCACATAGACAAACAATGTGGTATTACACGTGAATTAACTAGAGGGGCTAGTGATGAGTAAGATAATCGATCAAAAAATCGTTTTTCACCCGATCGCTAATAAAACAACCCTTTTTCTGGTGATAAAGTTGAAAGTTTATCAGCGGAATAATTATAATCTTAAATCACTCAATCTGAAGTCAAAAAAATTATCACCCCACGTATGATGTAGCTTCCCGTAGGTGAAAGAATTTTCGTAATCTGATCAGTCTTTCCTAAGATTACAAACAAACAAACAGAGTTATACTCGTTTTCACTAAACTTAGGAGTCGCCTAAATATTTAGGAATCGCCTAAGGTGAAAATGCATTTTACCATTTTCTAGCAACTGCCTAACGTCTAAAGTTATGATATACATTATGCGGCGCCTTGCGCTTGTCAATAGGTTAATATGACATGTCACAAATGTATCAAAGGAATAAAAGAAAAAAATGTTAATTTGGAAATAAACTAATCTGCTTAGGCGATTCCTAAGATTAGCCGTTTCTTAGTTAAGCTATGCCTTGTTCTAGGTTAGTGAAAACGGGTAAAACTTCTTTATGATATTAGTATAGATATTATTATGACATAATAGGGATGATGACTGGGTAAAAAAAATGCAATTCTATTAAGTCCGTCAGTCAGATAATAGAAAAATATTAGATACGTATTTTTTTTTTACTTCAATTTAACAAGAAATAGCTTAGATAACAGGCATTAAAGTTGAGGAGTGGGGGCTCGCTACGTCACAGTTGAGTAGAAAACGTACTCCAACGTGACGTCATGCGAAATTTCAACTCAATGTAACGCCGTAATTTTATGATTACGAAAAATATAAAAACAATACGTGTTTTAATATTTTTTAACACTCTACCTGACGGACAAACAAACAAAAATTAGTCATCATCCCTATTATATGATTGTTAAGCGGCACGTAGTCATATGATCCTAGATTATATGACGTAATATTAGAAACAGATAGTGTATTACTTTATTTGCAATGTTTATTACATACTATATATATCTTTATGTCATATAATATTAGTTTTATGTTATATAACAGAATTAGTAATTATAGAGTGACATCCTGCTACAGGAAATTAAATAAGGCATGTCGTGAAGTCAAAGTAAATATTGGCAATGGATGGTAATGACAACCAGGGATGTTTATTTAAATATCGATTCATATCATGACATGGATATAATTACAATGACAAATTCAATAGTAAGCAGTGGTTACTGTGGTAACATTTTAATTCCTATACAAACTTCCATTGCCATTTCCATCCCTTTATTAGCTGTTTTTTGTGATAATATATAGCCTATGTTCACCGCGTATGATGTAGCTTCACGTAGGTGAAATAATTTATAAAATCCATCCATTTTTGGAGCCTATTAAATGAAAATCTCTTGCCCCTTCTTGACTATGCAGATGCACGCTACCCTGATATTACACTTGATCTCCTCAATAAGCTTGAACGCCTTCAAAACTTTTCCATACGGTTTATATTTGGCTTGCGCAAATATGACCATGTTACTCAATTCCGTAGGCAACTTTGGATCTCCATTTGTCGTCGTATGGATATGCGTATGCTCTCGCTTCTCTACTCTATACTGTTCAATCCCATGATACCCCAATATCTGAAATCACGCTTTAAATTTCTCTAATCTACGCATGATCTCTCTCTTCGCTCTGCTAAGAACTATTGATTGTTCATTCCTCCCAATCTCACTTAATTCTTAAGTCGATAGTTTACAAAACAAGCAATAAAACTGGAAAAAGAAGGGCGATTTAAATAATAATAATAATAATATAGTCGAATAAGGAACATAATCATTATTTACTACCTGGAGGTGGGCGCTAATGGTTGCACTTCAGTTTTCTTTTTAAACTACTGCGACTATTATCGTACACTATACTTTTGTTAAACTATTTGTATCAATAAATACATTTTTATTTTATTTTTTTTTATTTTTTTTTATTTCGCTAAACTCCTTCAAATCTCAATGAAAATCCCATTTCCTCTCATAACGTTTAGATTCTCTATTTTCTTTACTCACTTACCGTGTTCTGGTTGTCACTTTATTTTGAGTGTTTGTTTGTCTTTATGTACTTTTTGTGATACTTTGCTGTTGCCAGCATTACTTCGTTTTGTTTTGTATGATATAAATTGTTATTTGTTTTATCTAATGTTTCTTTTTCCGTCCAATGTAAGGTTGCCAGGAAGCTGGTTAGCGATAAGGCCGTCTTTTGTAAGTTTTTATGTAAAAAATTATGTTTGTCTATGTAATTTTAACATGGTTTGTGCAATAAAGAGTATCTATTATTATTAGGCGAAGTCGCGGGCATAGACAGTTATTACAATACGAGTTATTGCAATGTAGTCTGTGGTGGACTCTATATTCATGGAATATCAATATACCTACTTAAAAATCAATCAATACTGACATTTACTATAATTCCCACACTTGACCTTATGGGAAAGAGGGGTGACTGAAAATCTGCGTTAAGCAGGTGCATGCTCTTGCTCAACATAAGCTGAGTCACCACCGTTTGTCTCTGTATTTTTTTTTCTTTTGTATAATGTATAATTTTTGTAATCTGAGGCAATAAAACATTTTATTATTATTATTTACTCAGTTAATTGTGGAATATCGCCATCTTACATATGCTGATAAACCTGTTACTCGTAACTGTTAAAACATACACCATTGGATACAATGGCTCCATCTACCGGTGAAACACATTTCGTTTTTGTAAAGATAACAAAAATTACCGAAAGTAGATTAAAAACATGATATTCTTAATGAAAACTCTACTTACGAGTGTATTTTCATATTGTTTGGGTGAATTGATAAAAATTGATGAGAAAAACGCGCTGTAGTAGCCAAAAAGAAACAAGCACTTGAAAAATTCGTCAGTCCTGGGTAAATGAGTGGTTAGAACAGTCGCCCGGATTGCGGTTCGAGTTCCATCTCAGAGACTCCCGGCAAAGTGGATTTTTAAGCACTTTTCTTTAAGAACATTTTTCAATATAGCAACTGTGAATGCATATTTCAACATATATTTAAAAAAAAAAAATATTAGGTCGTTATTTTTAGCCGTCCGCCATGTTAGATTTCAATTGTCATCTAAATTAAATGTGTATGCAAAATTTTACCCAGATTGGTTTCCATTAACTGCTTTAAAATTGAGTTACAAATTTGACGCTCATACAAACACTTACTTTAAATAAAAGCGCAACTCTCGTAACGCCATCTATTGACGTTAAAAAGTATTACGTTAAGAAAAACCGTTTCCTACCTTCGTTCATGGCCATGTCCATGAGCTGCAAGTCTTCGTCGTTGAGGATGGACTGCAGAAATCCGTCTTGTGTCGCCGGTGGCGCCATCTCACCGGTTGAATTCTGCGGAACACGCTGTATTTGAGTCAGTATTCACAAATCGGACGTATTATTATTGTTTTCCAACGCCAGAATGCAGCACTGGCACAAAAGTAAAGAAAAGAGTTGTAGAAAATAATGAAAACAAGAAACATTATTCTATAATTTTTGGATTCTATAATTGAATAGGCTCTGAAACTACTGAACCGATTCTAAATTATCTTTCATCTATAATAATGCGCCTATAGTAGTTTGGAATGCTATATAACACGCGGTGAACATAGGCTATAATTTACGCGTGCGAAATCGCGGGAACAGCTTGTTATATATATAAAAAAATAAAACCTGACTACGTGCACACCGCCCTATTTAAAAGAAACTGTTATCCCAGTTGTGTGATAATTTATAATAGATGACCTTATTCATTAACTAAACTTAATTTGAATATATTTAGAAGAAAACTATCAAACTGGCTTAAAATTAAATGTTTCTACTCAGTCAAGGAGTATTTAAATAGTAAGATTGACATACAATAAATATTGACTAACCTGTAATTGACATTTTTATTTCTATTTTTATTAATTGAATTTCACGGACATTGTGTTTGATAGTATCTGATATTAGTTTTCTATTTTGAAATTATTGTAACATTTTAATTTGTTTGACATTATGTGAATGATAATAATATAATTTAATTAATCAATTGTTAATTTAATTAATTGTTTGATAATTATACTTGTATGATGTGATTTTATAATCAATATATTTGCATGCTATTGTTGATGGCTAAATGGGCTGGACTCATTTATATTGTATTTCTACCTATGATATACCTCATTTAAAGGCAAATAAATATTATTGAAAACAAAAGAAAGAAGCGAATTCAAATTTATTTGTCAAATTTTGGGGTATACCAATATAAGCGAAAAGTAGTAACATATGCGAAAAAAAAAACATATAATTACTTCCACTGAAAACTAAAAAGAAAACACAAGTAGTTTGGAATGTTATTAAGTACTGAATAACTACTCCATTGAAATAGTTTTAAAATCTATACACAGATAAAAAATATCATAAATTCAAAAGCAGAACATCAACAGTCGGGACCCATTCCTTTTTGACCGATCAACGGAGTCCCGATGGTGGTAAAAATATTTTTATTGGTTAAAGAAAACAAAAGAATTACCTGATAGTAAATCCCGTCATGTTGCTGCGGATGATGAGCTGATTCCACCTTGTAAGCTCCTTCCAGAGGAGCGGCGGCACCAGCTGAACAAATAATGGGTATATTATAAAGAAGGAAGAATTGGGATATCGACAAAAAATTTTATTTGTTTGTCCGTCAGTGTGTAATCAATAATTACGACGATACATTGAGTTGAAATGTCGGATTAAGTCACGCTTTTGTACTTTTTCTACAAAATTGTGACGTAGCGAGCCCCCACTCCTCAACTTTAATGCAAATTATCTAAGCCATTTCTTGTTTAAATTGAAGCAAAAAAAATACGTATCTAATATATTTCTATTATGTGACTGACGGATAAATAGATTTTCTTTTTTTACCTAGTTGTCATCCTATTGTTTGTCTTCATCGATAAAGCTCAGAAACTACTACAAGACCAATTTTGAGAATATATTTCACCTGAAGCGGATGATATAGATTATAATTTACGCGAAGTCGCGTAACAGCTAGTGTTTTATATTTCGACGACCTCCGTTGCAAAGTGGATTGTATCCCGGTTACAATCTGAGGTCAAAATGGCTCGCATCCCGATTACTTTCTGAGGTTTCGGGTTCGAGTCCCGGTCAAGGCAGTGTAGAAATTGAAGTTTTCTATATTGCCATAATACGGAGGCTTTAGCTACTCAACTTGGAATATGAGCTGTGTATGTGATGTCTAATATTTTTTTTATTGAAATTCAGTTAAATAAGTGTAAAAATTTATGTGTAATGTAATTTTATTAATAAATATAATATTACATAATATTATAAAACGAAAATTTATCATTATACTTGTTCACGACTAACTGTTCCAATATGTAAATAGCTTTCGATACCAGGTTTATTATACTCTTTGATTTTATATAACTATACTTTTTGGAATACCATATATTTGTATATATTAAAATAGATTATAAAATAAAATGATAAAATGTCAGTGTGCTAAAGACAAGTGGTCGTATCATTTACAATACTCTTCTTCAAATTACATACTTCTCTGTTCATGCAATAGGCTAATTGACAACTTATTTATTTTATATATAAATAGTCCATTAATAACTGAGTAATAATGTAGAAGTAACAGCATGTCTGCATTTAATAGTTTCGGAGATACGGTGCTGTTTGAGGAACTGCTGCTAGTCGACCGAAAACGCTCCCTACATATTTAAGGCACTAGGTGACGTCACACAGTAGACAATCCTTATAATATATTTGGTATTTGTGCGTGTATTATTATAGCTGTTATAATGAAAGTTGTTACGTTTTATGGAAACAATTTAATACTGTATTTTCTTTTTTAATGTTTTCAAATCCTAATATTTTCCAAATTAGTGTAGTAAAATTTAGTTTCTTATTTATTTATATGTTAAAATGGTTCATTTTTAATCAACCTATAACAGAAACCTGCACTTTCACATGTAGGATACAACCCTATTAAAGTGAAAAGTCTTGTATTAATTTGTATCAATACGTGAAGCCTTAGCGTGAAGCAAAACCTTCATGAATACAAGAATGAATGAAATAACTATCAACATCCATGGCGTATTAAAGACAGGACTAATTAAAAGTCAAAGAGATTTAAATAGATTCACAGAACGAGTATCGCATACAAATTTGTTAGTCCCGTGACTCAACATCGCCCTCTAGCTTTGAATAGCAACGATACTTGCTAAAATAGCACGAACATGTCTCTTTATTGCAGCTTTTACCCACTAGAAACACTAGTTCAGTGTCATTAATTGCACGGCAACCAGACAACAGATGGCGTTATTTTGTTTTTATTACATTTTTTTAAAAACGTTGAGAATTTTGAGAAGACCACGAGTAGTCCATTTTTGTGTCAAATGGTACCCCCTGGGATGCGACTAGCCTTAAGATATGACATCTTATCGATGTAATAGCAATATTTCACTTAACAACTTTAACATTTACTTTAGTGACGACGAACGAGCGATGAAGAATTGTGATTATGGTTTGACAGCAACTTAACAATTTATCCACCAAAAGACATTTCAAATAAGATGAAACACTATCGTTATAACGTTGCTAAGATGTCGTATCCTATAGCTAGAACCAAGGCTTGAGAGTCAGGTGGTCGCACCCCTGAAGGCCCGTCTAGGACATATACATTTATCTATGATAAAGTTTAATGTCTTTGCGTTTAGTTATTTTTTTAGCCTATCGAGTATTTTGTATGCGTACCGTAATGCTCGGGGTGTTTCTCTGGCACTGGAGGCAGGGGTGCGTGGTAATTAGGGGCATAGCCTCCAACTGCTCCATGGGCGCTGTGAATAACATAATTAATAAATAAATATATACGTAAACGTCTATACTACTATTACCTATACTAATATTATAAAGAGCTAATTTCTAACTCGATGTAGCTCGGTGGCGTACTAGATAAGAGTCGCGGCCCGCGTTCTTTATTGTTTAGAACTTTCGTAAGGAATGGGTGAAATTTTATTATCTCAAGCTAAGCTACCGTGCTTCGGAAAGCACGTTAAGTCGTTGGTTTCGGTTGCATTTGTAGTCTTAATATTCTCTAATCCGCATTGACCAACCATCCAGCGTGGAGGGTCATGGCCCATTCACGGGTGCCGAAAGCTTCTAACTTGGATTATTTATATGAGGTAATCTTCAACGGTCTACGATATAGTCAACGATTGTAGATATAACAATAGGGATGAATATTTTTTTCGTAATCATAAAATTACGGCGTTACATGGAGTTGAAATTTCGCATGACGTCACGTTAGAGTACGTTTTCTACTCAACTGTGACGTAGCGAGCCCCCACTCCTCAACTTTAATGCCTGTTATCTAAGCTATTTCTTGTTAAATTGAAGTAAAAAAAAATACGTATCTAATATTTTTCTATTATCTGACTGACGGACTAAATAGAATTGCATTTTTTTTACCCAGTCATCATCCCTATTTTGTATGAAATAGCTGATTATTTTTTCGTGAATTCGGTGTTGGTCCCATTGTAAAAGTTGTTCAGTATACTTAACCAATCCACACCACGAAGTTCTGGTGTATAATAATATTACACCTGATGTATATTTACCTTATGTTGTGAGGGTGCGGATGGGGCTGGTGGTGTTGCTGATGGTGATGATGGTGGTGGTATTGCTCTGGTGGGGGTGGGATGGTCAGCAACGAAGCCAGGTCCTGCCAGCGCTGCTCCACTGACATAGAGCGCATCAGCGACTGTCGACAAAAGAAATACTCGGTCAGTCTGCGATCGTCAATGTTTAGTAACTTTTGCTAAGGCCTGTAATGGGATGGGTGACCGATCTTTTTTCCTTAAACCCACCGCGTGCTTCGAAAGGTTCAAAAGAACGTATAAAATTGTCGTTTTGTCTGCGATTATGAATGTAAATAACTATCTTATGTTTCCTTAAGTTTTCGAAGGCATGTTAAGTAATCGATCCCACATATAGGGTTGATAAAAATAAATACGAATTGGACTCGTGTAATAGAACGTTCTTACTATGTGATTCAATCCTCATGAAAGGTCTGTCTCAGTAGAAGAGACTTTAATATGCTTATAGCTACATTGATAAAAAGTACAGAGTTACATATTGTGTCACTAAAAACAAATTAATCGAAATGACATAGACATTTTATAATTTAACTCAAAAACGAAGTCAATCTTGTGCGGTTAAAAATACCGCTAGCGACCGCTAGAGGTCAGCTTATTGGATACTCTCGTCAATAGATGGCGTTGTAGTAGAAAAGTTATTAGATTAATGAGGGTCACTAATTTTAAATAAAAACTCTTTTATAGAATAAAAAAAAAAAAAGTAGAAAACTACCGTGGAACGTTGTTACGCAAGTCGGACCGCTTTTTTAATGTTTGCACAGAAAGCAGCATGTTTGTTTCCATTTTCAAATTCGAAATTTCGAACACAGCTCTCATTCCGGTCGCGTGCCGGTGACCAAATATGAGTATAGACACGAATTGTTTACGTTCACTGTAGTGATTTACAACAAGTGTTGTGCTAACATTGACGTACGTTTTCACCTGTGGCGCGGAAACTGTTCAAGTGTTTGTCTATGGTTTATAAATTCTAAGCCAGTTTTAAGCAACTCAGTACTGATTCAGTTTAGGATTACTGTTAGAAATAACATGATCTAAAGCTGTCACGAATTTTATTTTATATTAATCTTTTAACATTAGTTGGTTTTTAAAGTTTGAAAACTTTCTTTTTTTTATTAAATAATCGAAAAGTAATTCATAGGTTCGAGCCAAAAAATCTAAGAATAAAAACTATTGGGCTTCGACTCAAATGAAAAAAAAGAGGTTTCAATTACCTATAATAAATCACTTTCAGGCAGTATTTCGTCGATATCGTTTTCTCGAAGGAAAACTTTTTAAAAAACCGTATTTTTAAAAAAGATGGCTTTAAAAAGTTTTAATAAAGAATTTTGATAGTAGCAACGAAATATCACAATTTGTCGCCAGACGCCAGTAAAATACAGAGTATTAGTGTGTATTAACTGGTAAAGTCAATAAAACCCGGTTTGTCTTTTTAATATTTGCGGAAGAAAGTAGCTTATCTTGTGTCGATATTCGAAAGCAAGTGTAGGCTGTATGTTATTTAATGTTCATGCCACACATTGAGGAAAAAGTTTTTTAAGCGATTGAATATCTTAATTTAACAGGAGAGTTTATGGCTGTTTCCGATAAGAAATGTCCGTTCATTTAATTGCATGTTGGTTGTTTATAATAAGTTTTAATTCGTGGGTGTAAACAAGAAAAGTGTACTGTGAAGTTATTATCAACGAGTCACTTCTTTTTTATGGACTTCTTTGCATTCCTATATCTTTCTGTTGGTTCAAAAACTCCACAGAATCATTCAAACTTTAAAAAACACCAACGTTTTAGTGTAAACAGAAGACCAGGCTGTATGAACTAATAGCCCTTTGCCTTAAAGGAAATTAGTACTATTTCATTTAACAGAGACGAACTCTGATGGTTCCTTTACGCTGATTATATCAGGATCTATAATCAGGCACCGTTATCTGATATCTATCGAGAGCTGTTTTGGTTATCAATTCTGATCTCTCACATATCAAAGATTGGATCAAAGACGGTCTTTTAATTAACTCTTCTAAGATTAAAACTATTGTTTAATTTTCGACAACAATATTATTGCATACTCTGAAACTGTCATAAACCTGAGAGTTGTGATTGATAATTACTTCTCTTTAAGCAGTCTTCAGGTATAAGCAGTCAGAAAGAAGGTTTCCGCTGCGTATAGCTCTCTCAGACGCCTGCGCAATTTCTTATCAAGTAGCACTAAGATCAACCTGGCGCACTCTCTTTTATTATCTATTATTGACTGTCATACAGATGCATCGGAGGCGCTTCTTAATACCTTTGAGCATCTGCAATATGTTTGCATTAGATTCATTTTTAAGCTTCGTAAATATGATTACGTGTCACACTTCCGTTCTAAGATACAATAGCTTCTTATTCGCCGGCGCAGGGAGGGACTAGCATACTCCTACAGATCTCTATCCTATGCTTTTCCATACATATTATTATCTTAAGATGTATCCGCCATTCATCTATTATAATTTTCAACGTTGTACACACACAGTATCAGCAACGTTAAATTTACTTCTTTCATAAAAGATCGTTTGGATTGGATTGTTGTTTAGCATTAAGACCTCCTTTTGGTTATTCCTTCTTTTCTTAATGTGTTTATTTTTATTTATGGTAAACCGTATTTTTCTGAGTGCATAAAAGCGTTTATTATTATAATTATTAATTTTAGGTATTTATACTCTTTTATTTTACGCTTTTATTATAAATTAATAAATGTGTCAGCCCTTTTGTATTTGAGGGCTAGAATACAGAAACTTGACGACAATCGGAATATATTGTAAGTAATTATAAATAGTTTTTGATGCTCTATTTCGTGTAATACTTCAAGCCTTGTCTGAAGTATTACCTTCTGAGTCACCGAAAGGGAATTTCTTGTGAAAATGTCATAACTTACAAAAGCAAATATTTTTAACCAATAGACGAGAATTAAATGAATTAAGAACTGGCATTAGCTAATAATAAGAGTATTCAAACTTTCGAGAGTTCTTAATTCGTTTAAATAAGGTTCAAATTCATGTTAATTTGTCAAAAATATATGCAGTTATATCATTTTTTTCAATTAATTACTTCTCTCGCCTATAGATACGACTTTTAAGTGACTTATTAATTTTGTCTCGCTTTTTTCTTAGTCCATATGCGTAGTATTAAAAGTTTTAATGTAAGAAGTACCTATTATACGTATACTTAAACTGATACAAACACAAAGTCATAATAATAAACTTCACACAATAAAACAAATTGTCTCTGGCAAGTTATAAAAAAAGTTAACGGTCGAATTATTTTTTATTGCCACTTGCTCTAGAATGAAAGTAAATTTAAAAAATGCAACGAGCTAATAAATTAAAGTAGGTTTATATGTTTTATCGAATACGTTTTTAGCTTGTATAATCAATATGATAAAAAAGAAATCGGTGGCTGTACGAGTCTGTGACTTTGCCCTTTGTATTTGTTTCCAATGGTCTTTTGGCGCGAATCCGTATGATTTGTTTAGAATATGTTTATTTTAATGTACTCATATGAATTTTGTGTTTCGCTTTTGTGAAACAAGTAGTATTCACTTCGTGAATTTAGAGTTGAACCACAAACGGATCAGATTCTTTGCCTTTTTTTGTATTCCTCCTGCATCTCTCGATAAGCACCAAAAACAAAGAGTATCAAAAACTATTGACACTACAAAAAAATATCTCAGAGTAGGTTTTAATGAGCTAGATTCCTTTGCTTTTGATCCGTTAAATAGTGACAATAAATGACGATGAAATCCGAAAAAATACAGAAAGGTCGCCATATTAAAATGTAAATTATCTTTTAGGGCGGGCCGCTAGTCTATGGTGTTGTGACCGTAAATAAGTGATGTACAAGCCTACAAAAACATTGAAAAAAAAATTCTCTAGACCTTTAACATTTACGTAAAAAAAGACGCCCACTGTACTAAGGACGTAATATTTCTTTTTCGGGGTGCTTTCAACTATTGCTGTAAGAGAATGTTCGTTGCATTCATTGTGTTAAAGTTCAATTTCTATTGAATAGTGATGTGGGCGTTCAAAAACTAATAAATGAATTACAATAGAATTTTAATATTTTAGTTACAAAGAGGTAAAGAGGCGTGACAATATTTTAATTTTACACGTATATTTTCCTTGAGAACTGTATTTAAGTAACAGAAAAAACATAAGTTATAAAAAAAAAGAAATATTGCAAACAATACAGTTAAGTAATTCATACTTCGCTACATATATTAGAAAACTAAACCACAAGAAACTATTGTTATCTGAAATCCATACTAATCTTTTATGCAGTCAAGATTTGATTGATTGTTTGTTTGCATTGTAGTCTTTAACAACTTAATTGTGGACTATAGAATAAATTAAAGGACTTAGAGCCTGTTGCACAAACGTCCATTAAGGTTTAGTGACGCCTTTATGCTCTAATGAATGTCAAATTTGTATTCGTAATGTCACTTTAAACTAATGAAAAAATTAATGAACGTTTGTGTAACTGGTTGTAAAATAGGCACACACAAGATAGACAATAAGACAGCAATAATAACAAAAATGAAAAATATATATATATATACTTAATGTCTGTATTGAATGGGCTCAGCAGGAGTTTATGTAATAATCGCATCTCATTACAAAAGAATCACAAATACTTGAAATTTGGTCATTGTTTTATCTACACGAAGAACAAAATTAATATATATTAAAATTAAAAAAAAAAACAGAACAACTAACGCCATCTCTTGACACGAATCCGCAACGTTCCACCTTAATTACGATAATCTTTATTCGATGATAAATCGATTTAAAATGCAACGGAACAGTGTAAGTCACTAATAAGTAATATGCTTGAACTGGGTCTTCCCCTTTTATTTTCTCGTGGCGCTCCATACTTGCAAAGCGCTTCGGCCTAGTCCGCGCGGAATTCTGATAACTCCATAAGAGTTTTAGGGTTGACTCCCTTCTGTTTGTTGACTTTTAGATAAAGGACCCAAGAATTAATTATAGTAATATCCAGTAGATGGTAAAAAATTCTCAAATACCATTTTCTAGTCTTCATATGGTTGCGCCCTTATCGCCCTAAGAAACTGTCCATA